CTTTCCCTCTGCTAAACTAAGCATGAGTTGTAAACTCAGGCACCTAAAAGGACCTGGGATATGCAGCGGCCAGATGGGAGAGAGAAGGGTAGGGAACGGGGTGCCCTGACGAGCAAGGCCACATCAGAAAAGGTCAGCCAGCACTCTGAGAGCCAACCGTAGCTGTGTGGGAACGCCAAACTCATGTGGCTAGGTCTTCCCATTTTTCCAGAGTTATATGTGAAATCTCCCAGGTTTTCATTGTATGCAACCAATTCACTTTATAAGCCGAATGAAACACATCTGTAGGCCACATGCAGCCTGTGGGCCACCCCTTTACAAACTGCTGTCGCCTAGTTTTCCCATCTAGAACAAACACCTTTCTTCACGCTTTTCTCCTCCTTGGTTCCCATTCCCCTTCTCTTTTCCAGGTAACAAAGACAGGTGGTCTGTTGCCACTGTGTCCACTTCTCACAGTCCACTCCCTTGCCAAGCTGGCACTGCCCCGAAGACCCTCCTGAAGATTCTTCCTGCTTCCTGGCCCAGATGCAGAGCCTTTAGTGTCAGCATGGCCTCCAGGCCTTCTTCCTGGTCTCTGGTGCTTTTCCACTCTATCCACTTTCATAACTATGCTTTTTATGGCATTTCCTCCTCATATTCTCCAGATAGCCCCCAAAAGTTATATCCTTACCCCTACTTCTTAAACTTTTCTCTCTTGTCAATTGTTTTCAAACCAACAATGCTGAGTTCTTCCTTTCATGAGCTGTGACCTCTACCTGTCAGCCTGTATCCCCTTAATTTCCAGACCCACATTTCTAACTGCTTTCTGGGCACCTCCATCGGGTGTCCCACTGATAACCAAACTCAGGCAGAGGCAACATGTCAAAGGCCAGCGCATCCAGAAATCCATCAGCAGGTGGTTGCAGGCACATGCGAGCCTCTGAGATTGGGGGAGTTGGGGAGAAAGGGACGAGATGTGAGTTTGGTGGGAGTCCTGTTGGTTTGAGCTGTGGGAGAGGACAGGCTTGGCTAGTAGAGAGGGTGACGACACTGGCATGAAGCAGCTGCCATCAGGCCCAGTGCGGTCCTAGAATCCAGAGCAGAGCTGAAGCTGTCGGTGGGGTCAAGGCCTGCTGCCTGGCAGTCCAGCTGGATGAGAAGATGGTCATGACCTCAGGCAGGAAGGGGCTCAGAGGGCTTTGTAACTGTCATTCAGTAGAGCCACAGTGTGAAGCCAGGTCCAGTGGGATTCCGGGCATTTGCCCTTCCCTCTGCACTGTCCCTCTAGGTGGTGCAGGCCCACCTCAGCCAGCGAACAGGCCAAGGAGAGTGTAACCAGCCTCCTCTCCCCACTTCTATGTGGGGAGGAGGGTGGGTCCCTGCTGGGCCTCTCAGGCGCAGTGGCCCAGTAACGGGCGGTCAGCCCAAAGGCTTCTGCACAAGGGCTCCAGCTCCACGTGTCTTCCCAGGATCTACAAGTACCAGGCCCATGGTTATGCCTTCTCCGGCATGGAGGAACTGCTGTACTCGCTGGGGGAGTCCAGCTTCATCAACATGACCCAGCGCTCTGTGGCCGAGTCCCTGCTCCAGGTGGGCGTCACGCAGCGCTTTATCGATGACATCGTCTCCGCCGTCCTGCGGGCCAGCTATGGCCAGTCGGCAGCAATGCCCGCTTTTGCTGGTGAGCCTACGGCCCTCAGCCTGCCCACCTGCCCTTCCCCGGCCCACAGTGCCCAGAATGGGCCGGGTTCCCCATAACCTCACATTTACCCGGCTCAGTAAGGTTGCCTGAGCACTTTGTTGCCGTGGTTGGGTGGGGTCTTGGCCTGGAAGGGAGGCCCAGGTGGGAGGTGGTGGATTCTCTAGCCCCACTGCCCCGTGGTTCTGAGAACCCACTGGCCACCTTCCGCATTGCCCAGGTGCTATGGCGCTAGCTGGAGCCCAAGGCACCCTGTGGTCCGTGGAGGGAGGCAACAAGCTGGTGTGTTCCGGTCTGCTAAAGCTCACCAAGGCCAGTGTCATCCATGCCACGGTGATCTCTGTGACTCTGCAGCAGACAGGTGAGTGGACAGAGCCGGGAGCATGGCTGCTCCATTCCTACACAGTGAACGCTTCCCTTCTTCTGTCCCTAGACCCCCATCTGTGATCTGCCTGGGAGGATTCCAAAAAAACAGTGGGAAGCCCCACCACTGCCGAGTGACACCAGAGGGCACTGTTGTCCCAATTCAGATATTAGAGCCAGAAAATAGATTTGCATTCATCTAACCCCATTTATTTGACCACTGAGGATTTTGAGCCAGTCAACAGCAGAGGCAGAGCTGGACCTCGGGTCTCCTGACTCCCAGTCCAGTGCTCACTCTCTGGTCACACTGGCATGGAAAGATGAGGACCCACCATCTGGACAGCCCAGCTGCACCCCGGGTCTCATACCCTCAATGCTAGGCCCCAAATGGGAGAAATAAGTCGGCTTTCGTGCTCTTTTCTCAATCTTTCTAGAAGGGAAACCCTTGTACCTGGTAAAGTATGAGAGTGAGGTAGGCATTGGCTCCGACTTCTATGACATAGTGGTCATCGCCACCCCCCTGCACCTGGACAACAGCACCATCACCTTTGAAGGCTTCAACCCACCCATTGACGTCATCCAGGACTCTTACCAGCCCACTGTCATCTCCTTGGTCCACGGCTACCTCAACTCTTCCTACTTTGGTTTCCCCGACCCTAAGCTTTTCCCCTTCGCCAACATCCTTACCACAGATTTCCCCACCTTCTTCTGTGCCCTGGACAATATCTGTCCCGTCAACATCTCGGCCAACTTCAGGCGGAAGCAGCCTCAGGACGCAGCCGTTTGGCGAGTCCAGTCCCCCAAGCCCCTCCTTCGGTCCCAGCTGAAGACCCTCTTCCGCTCCTATTATTCAGTGCAGACGGCGGAGTGGCAGGCCCACCCCGTCCACGGCTCCCGCACCACCCTCCCGAAATTTGCACTCCACGACCAACTCTTCCACGTCAATGCCCTGGAATGGGCGGCCAGCTCCGTGGAGGTGATGGCTGTAGCCGCCAAGAATGTCGCCCTACTGGCTTACAACCGCTGGTACCAGGACCTAGACAAGATAGACCAAAAGGATTTGATGCACAAGGTGAAGACTGAACTGTGAGGGCTCTGGGGTGAACCTGGGACGGTCCATCCCCTGCTGAAGGGGGATCACCACCCCAGAGGCCAAGCCTCTGTCTGACCCCTCGTGTGTCAAGTGTCTTCTCCCAGGATGGATCCAGGTGGCCTGCTCTCTGCCTCTTCTAAGGATTCTCAGAGTGGTGGTTTCTTTTTAAGGGAGGGTGTAAGAGAAGGGAAGGAAATTCAAGCCAGTGTATGTATTTTATTTATTTTTTTAAAAGAAATAAAAATCCATCTTCTCCAGCTGCTTCTCATTTGGTTTTCTAACTAGGAGACAGGATAACTCTGGGGAAGGGGGGGAATACAAGACAGAGAACTCTGCATCTAATTTCTTTATTGTTTTTCACTGCCAACTGCCAAAATGTACCTGAGGCAACATCAACAATGAAACGTGTAGCCAGATGGTTTACAAATAAAGTAGAAGGGAAGATCTGAAAACTAAGACGTAATTATAGCTCCTATTTACTTTGAGCTTGCTAGATGTGAGGTACCTAGTTAATAACTTATTAGATACCATCCATGTCTCTCAACAGTACCACATGTTGGGGAAGATGACTGGTAGGATGGTTACCCCAGCAGAACTGTCAGTATAGCGCTGAGCTTCCTGGCAACCAGTAGGACAAGGGAGAGCAAGACCATAGAAAGAAGAAAGCTTTGGCACCTGGAGGAATTGACCATTCTGTCTATTATGCAAGGATTGAGGAGTAATGTGATGATCTGTCTTGCACAAAGACAAATTCCAAGGTGGTGGAAGGCAGTCATACCTCTCTCCCAGACATTCACCCCAGTGGAGTAAAGGAAGAAAACGTGTTGGGATAGAGTTCTTTGGAGGTTAACCTGATTCAGGTGCCCAAGTCCCAACCAGACCTGCTAAGTCTGGCCCAGGAGGACACACACTGCCAAATGACAGCGATATTGTGACTATCCTTTGGGATGGCCCCAGAAGTAATTCAGCTAATTTGCCTCCTTTTGTAGCAATGGAGATAAAAGTCCAAAGTGAGGAAGTAACTTGCCCGAGGTTTCCTGAATAGAGCTTAAATCTGGAGCTTCTCCTTAAAATTCATTGAATTCGGCATGGGGCACAATAGCCCTCAAGTAGGGGGAGGCCCAAATTGGCTTCGAAGTTGTTACCATGCCACAGCTATGGTAATGGTAGTGAAAGAGATGATGCCTTTAAAGTGCAAGACGCATGTAGCTGTTGGTTATTACAGGTATTATGACTGACACACCTGTAAGAATGCTTTTGGTTGATGTATTAGAAAACCAAACTCAGACTGGCTTCAGCAATGAAAGGGTTTTATTGCTTATCATAAAAGTCCAAGCACAGGGCACTGTGCAATGCCAGCGCCATTACTTCTCATGGTCAAGGACGGCTACAACAGCTCCCAGGGCGAGAGGGTCTGCTCCCATGACCCCTGAACCAAAGTCTGGGCTCTGGGCCAGTTGGGCCCCTGCTTAACCGATTCCTGTGGCCAAGTGAATGCCACATGTTGACTGGACCAGGGAGCAGAAGTGGTCTCATCCAAACTACAAGGTCAGAAGGGTGGAAAGGGTGTTGAGCGAGGCAGAATGTCAACCACACACAGGATGGGGCTGTGCCCTCCCCGCTCCTCAAGTCCAATGAAATCAACATGTAATGGCATTTTTTCATGATCTATGTTTGAAATGAAGATGCTACAGGCTGTCATGGTATAACTGATGACCATTGGTATTGGGCCAGAGGACCAAGGCCAATACCAAATTTGTCCCTGAAAACCACCCCTCCCCTGCATCCCTGAAGATATGCATGGAAGAGGCAAACCAGGGCAGTTACACTTGATCTTTAGTCTTTGGCCAGGGCTTCGGCTCCATGTCCCAGCCTGACTGCAGTGGAACTGGCTGGTTCTTCAAACTTCCTTTTATCTAGTAGGCAGGCCCGAACAGCTCAGAACCAAACCAGGCCAAAATGCCAATACTGCCTGCTTTCCCAAATCAAAACCTGAGAGCAAGATCTCACCATCTCCCCGCCTACAAGGAAAGGCCACAGATTCCTGAAGGCAGGGGAAGGGAGCATGGGAACCAGCAGGAAACCTTTGCCCCTGGGCCCACCCTAGCCATCTTAGGCCAGGACAGAAGCCCCCAAGGACCTACAGCCCTCTGGGAGAAGAGAGAGCACTTGCAAAGACAAAGAGAGCCCTATAATCTGCCAAACAAAACAGGAAAAGGCCACACTCATCCTCAATAGTCCTGGGGGGAGTGTAGTACCCATTGAGAACGCCTTGAAGGAACAACTCTAGAGCAGATGACTCGAGCAAGATTTCAGCACTTTGTGGGGAGGGGGCTGTGGAGGGTAGAGTTGGGGGTGGTGAGGGGAATGGTGGGAAGAGAGGAATGCCTTGTTCCTAATCCAACTTTGAAAAAGCAACAGAGGGAGCTTGGGCTCCCCCTAGAGGCCTTTATGCATGAATGCATGCATGCATTCATTCACCAAGCCCTGAACCCTTATTTTGCACCTGGGACTGTGCTAGGTGTTGGGGATGCAGCAGTGAAGGAGACAAGTGAGGCCCCTGTTCTTACCCAATGAGGGTTTCTCACCAGATAGTAGAAAACATAAAATATTTAAACTCAGACCAAAGGAGGTTAGGGGTACAGTATAGACCCAGCTCTCTGAAGGTCTTGAACTCTCTACTGCTGCCTTTAACAACCAGGGGGCTGAGAAGCACCCGCTGCCAGCCCAGGCTCATGAGACCAAGCTCTGGAGTCCCCAGAACGGTAAAACTACAAAAGACCCTGGAGAGCCCTGGTTACACAGATGAGAAAACTGAAGCCCAGAAAGAGGAAAAGGCAACATCCATATAAAACTAATCAACTAACTGGCATTTATTGAGGATCTCTGCATGTCTAATGCTCTGGTAGGAATAGGACAGGCCATCCCACCAGGTGAGGAGTTTCCTGGCCCAGTCCCTATGTCCCTGGGCACCAGGGGTCTCCTCCCAGGACTAGAGCAACCCTCCCGTTGCTCGGATCTTCCCATGCCCTCACCCCACAAAAAGGCCTTGGAGGCCGTGGGTCCCTCATGTGCAGCTGGAGTCTTAAGGCCTGGAGAGCAAGCTGCGTGGCCCCCCAGAGATAATCACCCCCCAGGGAAGAGAAGCGGCTGCTGAAGGCATCAGCTTGGGCTGGCACAAGAAGTTTATTTTCCATGTGTCTGGAACCAGGCCGAAGCTTCCTGGGGTAATTTTAACCAGTATCCACTCTAGAACAATACCAAAAAAGGTAAGTTACTTACCACCCCAGACAGACACATACCTAACCAGTGCCCTTTCATGAATTAGACCCTTAAAACATTCAGAGCTAAAGCTACTTTAAGTGCTGACGTTACAGCAGCCAAGTAAAGTATTCCTCTACTGGCTGTTGGCCCTCTTATTGAAATTAACTCTAAAGTGCCAGCTATTCTTACCCTCAGAAAATAGCCTGAGCCCCTCAGCTGTCCTGGGGGAGGGAAGGTATTTTTAGACCTAACAGCAGCTGATTTAGGATTTGTTGCAGGGGCTAGGGGGCAGGGGGAGGATTGAATTGCAAGGGGCTGATGGGGTGGGGCAGGGGGAGTTAGCATCCAGAGAGAAGGAGCCAGCAGGGGCTTTACAGCAAGTCTGTGCACATTGCCTTTTTCATCAGCAAAGTGATATAAGCCAGAGTTCTCAAAGTGTGGTCCCCAGACCAGTGGCAGCAGCACCACCGCCTGGGAGCCACTCTGTTGGAAATGCAAGTCTCAGCCCCCATATCGAATCAACTGAATCAGAACCCCTGTGTTTGGGGCACAGCAATTTGTGTTCTAACAAGCCCTCCGGGTGATTCTGGTGCCAGCTAAAGTCTGAGAACCACCGATATCAGCAAATCATCTAACCCGATCCCCTTGTGGATAAGGCTGGATGAAAGAATGATCTATGATGATGCGTCTCAACTCTTGAGTGTCTGTTCAAAATCAGGAATCTCCAGCTCATAAAAATGCATTTGCATGTGAAAATTTCAGGGGCTTGTTGGCCCCGGTTAAAACCCCTGTTCTTTGGCGCCCTGGAGGCTCGTCTCTGGGTCTAAGGCTGACCTGCAGAGAATCTCGGAATTGAAAGAGACCTTATAGAGCACCTATTCCATCCAGAGCAGGAATCCGTTCATATTATTAAGAGGCTCAGCCTTAGCTGGACCCTTACAGAGACTGGGAGCTCACGCTTCTAAAGAGCTCATTTGCAATGGTCCTTGCCTTAATGGCTTAGTCACTCCTATATAGGTTTATACTAACCAAGCTCCAATAACATGGCTGAAATAAGGCTATAAACCCAAATTAAAGGAACTATGTGACTGTCCTAAACGGTAGAAATGAATGCACTATTTTTTAATAACCTGTCTCAGTGTTGGAGAAATGTGAGTGATGAAAAATCGTCCTTTATACTCATCTGAAATCTACCTCCCAGGACCCTCCTACCCCCACCCTGGTTTGGCTTTGAAGCCACAAGGATCAAACCCAAGGTCTTGCTTTGGGAAAGACAGCGTTTACTTTTCATTGGCCTCGCATGGCATGGGAGTGCAGGGAGGGCGGCCTGCGGCTGCCCGCAGGCTCTAGGCCTGGTGATTCAGAAGATGCAGGTACAGCCCACTGCGATGGTTTCCATGACCATGCGCTGGCGGCAAGGCCCGGTGCGCGGAGGCAGCGGGCAGAGGCGGCGGCGCACGGGCACCTGGCTGAACACAGGCACGCTCACCATGCTGCGGTCCTCCTGCATGGTGAAGGGGTTCACGCAGCCCAGACACAGGCATCGCGCTTCGGGCAGGTCCGCAGGGATGCGGCTGGGGTCGTGGTTGATGCTGCAGGAAGGCAGGAGAGAACGCA